CCTCTGATCTAAACCCTGCTGATCTGGACGCGCTACCACATCTGGTGAATTGTGCGCAATGTGTGAAGGCTATCTCCATTTCCATACACGGAAGAATTATATAGAACATCGAGAAGTTGCTAAACTGTCTCAAACCTAACCCCGGCTTGGTGGATCTGCACGGTTGCCTTGCAAAAGGAGCGGCCGCAACACACTAGCCTCAGCGTTGCATGGAGTGGGTACGCCAAATGTACGAGCAACAAGTGTTTGACCTTCTTGCAAATGAAACAAATAAAGGTGTATGAGGCTGGAACGTTATTGGGGCCAGCATAAGATCTTCGCAAATGCCGCAGCAAAACAGTTCTGCAACTTCTTCCTCTGAAGTCATCTCGGTCCTAGGCCAGATTCAGGCCAACAGGTGGATTTCAAGAAACACCAAGGACACTAGATCTCACAAGATCCAGCAACTATATGAGAAGAAAAAATAAGAACCTGAGAGAACGCTTCAGAATTGCAGAAAAAAGGCAGGCAGCAAGGTTCCCATCAAAATTGAGTGCATCAGGCAACCTTCACCTAGAGATGCTGAGAAGCAGACAGAAATGTTGCTGAGCCCAAATGCTTCAAACCCTGAGTGCTCAATACAATACTTTTGAGCCTAAACGCTACACTCAAAGAAAGAAGAGGATGAATGTGTTTGATAAGTTTTGGAAGATGCCTGCAGGGCCCGAACACGCCGCTCAACAGGCATTCACTTGAGCCGTTTAGTGTCTTTTCTCGACATGTCAACGGGTCTTAAAAGTTAGCCTCGCAAACTTAAGGCGCGGAACGACAGCGCGAAAATGCGAGGCACTTCTTGCACTTGGAAAAGGGTAGCTCGGTATCCCTCTCGCAATGCCCCCCCATGGATTCTCTATGAGTTGGCTTAACTCATTGCGATCTGCGTGAGAGGGACCACGATGCGACTGATTGCGCAAGCGCAACTCGTTTCAGCTGCTTTTGCCTCCAGCCAAAGACTTTGTTCACTACATGCTTCTCACCTGCCGAAGCCGCCAATGGCCTGGCTAAAACCATGCTTCCCTCAACCCAATGTAAACCTATGTATCTCCAGAAGTTCGTCTCAAACATATAAACATGTGAACATATACATGTTAGTGAGTATGTCGGCACGCTGCAAAAAATCTTGCGAAACATGCATGCATGCATACACACATGCATACAGTCCACACATGCGAAACATGCATGCACGAGGCCAAACAACAGCGCCAGCATCGATTTGCCAGCAGACGCAACTGTCAAGCCCTTGTCAGCGGGATTGACTGGACCACGGCATCCAAAGTCACCAAACACCTCAGCAAGGTCCAGGCCAACCACATCCGCACCTGGAACCAAGCTGCCATCCGTTTCAAGGATGACACCGCCACCAAACAGTGCCCACTCTGCCAGGTTCCAGCGACACCGAAGCATACCGTGTGGCTTTGCAAATGGCACCACAACCAAAAGCACCAGCCCCTTCCAGTGCCCTGGACCGAAAGGTTGCACGACCCGCTGGAAGAACCCCTCTGGGCCTACGGGTGGATACCAAAAGAGCCACAAGATCACCTCCATCGACCACTGGACCTGGAAGGACATGGGTGTTGGCAGTCCCTTGAACCACTTCCACCAACCGTGGCAAGGGCTCTCAGTCACTGTTGATGCCACTCCGCGCGCGACAAAAGAGCCCAAGCATGGATCTATGCCCTCTGCATTCATGGCTACTCGCTGGGAGCCCTGCAACGAAAAGGAACCATCACTGGCATGGCGAGGGGGCCACAGACGAAAGCCAGAGCCATCTTCCAAGGGCTCCTCACCTTGGCCCAATTCATCCAGACACCAACCAGGGTGATTGTCCAGGTCAGCTCGGTCTGGGAAGCCTGGACCGACCGGCTAAGAGGAAGGGCTTCCATGATCTTGTCCAGGGGCAACCTGCAGAGTACTTCACTCTGATCACACCCCTCTGCATCCACAAGAACCGCAAGACCCCGGATGCTCCCGGAAATGAACCCCATTTACGCCAGAGACAAAGGGATGCAGCCCTGGCGGCATGGGAGCGGGCAACCAGCATCCACAACCCAGACAAAGAAGCCTGGCAGAGCATCCTCGACCAAGACCACCTTGAGATCTACAAGCATGCGGCTGCTCGATTGGCCAAAATCTACGACGACAAGGACCACTACCTGCACACCAAACCAGGTCGAGCTGCTGCCCACAAGACCAGGCAGAGGAAAAAGACCCTCATCGCCCAGTGCCAGCAGCCATGGCAACCGGGCAAACACCAATGGAAGGCCCACCGCAGCGGCTACCAGTGCCACACTTGCCAAACTCGAGTACATCAGGGATTGGCTGCATCCATGATTGAAGAACGGCTCCAGGAAGACTGTGCACAACTCACAGCACCCGCCCCGGAACCAGACCTCCCACCTGATCGAGCAGTGGGGAAGAAACCCATGCACCCGAGCGAGCCGCATTGCCTCTCTGCTCCAGCTCCAGCAAGAACATCCGACCACAACAGATGTTCATCACCTCCAGGAAACCACTGGCTACCTGAAGTGCACCAAATGCAACCGAGCCATCCACAAAAGGGCCAATGAAGAGCTGTTCAATCAGTTCCTGAACAGCACCTGCATTGATGCACCCTTCTCCCAGGAGCATGCAGCCCATGGGACACACACCTCACCTTGATGCTCAAGACCGCCCGATTCTCGCGAAAGGACTCCAGAGAGAGTGTAAAGGGCGCAAACCGACCTCGCCCACACTTGCGCGCGTCTTCAGTCAAGCAAGTCCTTCCAGCCAAGGGGTTAGATTATTAGATTCGCCAACAGCGTGGCAACACCGTTTGGCCGCGCCTGATCCACTTGAGTCCCCCTTAGGTGTTTTGTGAAATCGAGCTCTAAAAATTGTGCTCTCGCTTGCATTTCGAGCCATTTTTGCCCCTGGAGCGATTCCAAACACGGCAAAACGAGAAATGTAGCAAAATCCTTGAGCCTGGTGGGGGAGAAGCCTCTGGGATGTCGAAAAAGTCGTCAAAAAACTAGGAACTGGAAAGGAGCTGGATTTGGGCCTTACAGGGACAGTTTTGAAGCCCTTTGGTTTGCGCCAAGGCGCAAAACACTGTAAATTACAGTGCTTTCACAAATTTCGGCGTTGCAAAAACTGCGTAAATATCGATGTTTTTGGGGCGTGGTGCGCGAAATGCTGAAAATATCGCGGTTTTCAAGAAAACCGTGTAAATACCGTGGCTTTGAGCGCTCGATAGCTCAAAACCATCGGTACTTACGCTGTTTCCTGGCATAAAAGCACCAAAAACTACCCACGTAGCGTGGTTTTGGTGCACGTTTGAAGCCTCGAGCAACAAAAAACATTGATATACACAGCGTGTCCAATCTTTTTTGTCATTCAACCACCAGCCTGAGGGATTTTGCGTGATCTCTTTTTGCGTGCGCCCCAAACGTGTTTGACGCGAGGTTTTGGGGGGCGCAAGAAATACAAAAGGCAACGGACAGCCGCAAAAAACTACAAAAAAACAATCAGAAACAGAACCCGATAGCGAACACGCGCCCAACCGGCATCGCCGGTCTGCGAAGCTCTACAATATACTTTTAGCAACGACAAACAGGTCACGGTACTGCTTCCCAAAACAATCTACTGTAAGCAATCCAAATGTTCCGAGCAAAAGTGATGATGAGTGGTACAGTATTGGCGGCAGGACATGGCCAAGTGCGAGATAGGTTGAAGCATTTGGGTCAGTGCCTGGTTGATTTGAGGAGCTGGGTTTTGATGTGGTGCGATGAGCCCTTGTCACGCATTGCCCCAGGCACATGAGGAAGGCCAAAATGATGAACTGGTTACTGATCGAGTACGATGCCACAAGGGCTGGGCGCAATCAGGATCATGAGCGCATTTGCGCTTTGGTATATGTGAGTGTACTTAAGATGATGGTGGACAGGGATGTTGAGAGTTTTCCAGGAATGATGAGGGGAGAACAAGTTTAGAGCGAGATCATGGCCAACATGGATGCTGCCACGCAACGTGGCCTCATGGTATGGCCAGGCCTCTCGAGAGCCAGAGACGCCAGTGGGAGCGGAATTGATTCAAGGGTTTGAGGTCTTTGAGGCCACCCTCTCACTTCTTTGCTAAAGCACTAAAGCAAGAGTGGCTCCAGCTAGCTGAGGCTAGCTTTCGTGATAACTGTGTTGAAAAGGGAATCCCTTAAGACAGAAAGAAAGAAAATGGATGGATGGATGGATGGATGGATGGATGGATGTACCTTTGTCGGACGCTGAGTACGAGTCTCATGGCGCGGCTCACGCTCAGTTGGTAGAGCTGGACATGAAAGGCCTAGTTGGCTAAAAAGGAGAGGAGCTCTTCAAGTTGATGTGAGACGAAAAATTCCCTCGCAGCTTCATGAAGAGCACCACAGCAGCCTTCCAGATGTAATTGGGCAGGTCGTCGTGATAGATCGGCTGCCTTCCATCATTCTTCTCAATCCATAGCCCTTCGCGGCGCATCAGCACCACGTAATGCCCGCCGTGCCTGTCACCGAAATGGGCCAAGATGGCCAGCGCCTGATAGGGACGGTAGCTGTAGTGAAGTTGGTCACCGTCAAAGATCGGGACCTGGATCACCTCTTCAAAGCGAATCTCGGGGATCCGCAAGGCTTCATTGTGTAACAGATAGCCCCTGTCGATGTGGAGGCATTTGAAGGGGGTCGCCGAGACGAAGGCTGTTCTCATACCTAAGTGGCGCAACCAGGAGGCCAAGCAATCCGAGATGTGGAGGGAATTACAGGGCAGCAGCCAGCAGGCAATGCTCTCCTCCTTTTTCATGAATCTCCACCTGGTCCCCATGAAGCAATCTCTGCTCTCAGGAGTGGCTCAGTAAGGGGAATTGGCCCCACTCGGCGGCGCAGCACGGTTGGTTTGGCTGCTCACCCCAAAAGCGCAGCAGCGGCGCAATGGCCTGCAGCGCATACAAAGAGATTTCCTGCGCTTGTGCACAGGCTGTCAAAACTGCCTTCCAGTTTAAGGCGTGTGGTCCCCAAAGCTCAGCAGGTGTGGCCTCATCTGGGCCACGCAGCAGCATCCAAAGGAGGCCGGTCAAGGTGGCATTCAAATAGCGCCAATCTCCAGGATTCCGGAGGAGAATGCGACAAAGGGCCTCCCTTGCAGCGCTCCGGTCAAAGGACATGGAGGGCTCAGTCAAAATGATCGTTTGCCTTTGCCTTTCCCTTTCCCCTTCGGAGCACGAGGGTTCTTGTGCTCTGCAATCAGGCTCTGATGAATCGTCGTTGCCAGGTTGGATCTCTTGGCATTGTGAGGGTGGAACGTCATCTGGAGCAAGTGCCATACACTGCTGTACGCGCGCAGACCAATCTGAAGCCTCCAATGGGATCGCGCCACCCCCCCGCGGAGGTTTGAGAGCTTGCATCCGCAGCACTGAAGAGGGGGCACACAGCAGCTCCCGATTCTCCTGCAGGGTCTCCATAAGGGTCTTCATGGACAGGCCCTTGGTCTGATTGATCTCTCCAGCTTGCTCTTGCCGTGGTTCCATGTCAAGAATGGCCAGGGCGACCTGAGCGCTCACCGTCTGACTCCAAGCAGGTGAGTTGCGATCCATGTTGCTGATCTTTTGCACCCTCTCCAGCAGAGTCTCGAAGATTGCCCGGATCAAGATCAGGCGGAGCGGAGTGGAGGGAGGATTGCTGTTCTGCATTTCCTGTGTCCACTTGTTGGTCTCCTGCAGCAGGGTGGGCTGGATGCCAGCATCTCCGGGTGTGGTGAAAAAAATGAAGCAATCCTGCTTGGCGATGCTTTGGAGCTGATCCTCGTGCTTGATGAGGAGGTTCATCGTTTTCAGCAAGTGGGTGAGTTGGGGCTGGCTGAGCTGAACTGCTGAGGAGTCGGTCCGCTGTCTCTTCTCTGCCACTCTGGGTTCGTTGCCGCTTGTACTTCCCCTGTTGGTCAGCAGCATTGGTGCGAGGACTCCCATTGTCTCCTGCAGCTGGTACGAGAAGTCCTGGAC